TAAAGTACTAAAAATAATATGAAGTTATGTCAAACATAAGAGACTTTTTTAAAAAAATGGGAAAGGCTGAGATTCACCTGTAATCACACATAAGACTTTCCTCTTTGAAGTCCTAATGGTTCACTCATGAACCTAGATTATTCAACATACTAAGATTTCTCAACATACTCACTGATTGTTTCACGTGTGCATTTCATACTTAAACCCATTCAAACACAGCAGTAAACTTTGATCTAATAGCAGTACCTTCCTATAACTATAGAGAATACAACTAGCTCGTTGAACAGATTTTGGATTATACCTAAAATTAAAGTTAGGATTTTGCCTATAGGTAAAAATATTTTACTGCTTAGATAAGTAATTTGAAAAAAGAAAAGTCGTAACACACATACAATTGTGCCCCTTCCTTTAATCTTCCGTCCAGACTTTGATACAGATGGTTTCTGATCACTTACAATGGGTGTAACATCAGGAATCTTCCTGGAAAAGAAGATTGAAAATTAAAAATAAGCAATTATGGGGCAGTTTTCTCAATGTATAAATGCAGAATTTAGGTTCTTATAATACAAAAACACTCCATTTAGATTGAAGACTTTCCAGAATAAGGCATTCCATATAACCTAATTTTTGAAGCAACACTTTAAAAGCCAAAGCTTTAAAAACAAAAAAAAAGAAGTAACCCAATTTGGTAGAAATACATGATACTAGTATCTATATTTTTAAGCACACTTTTTACTACTTTTAAACAAAATCCATTTTTAGATGTCACTTCTCAAAACAATGATGTTCTAAGGGAATCCTGAGGTATTCCTGACTCTGATGCTTAATTTTGCTTTTGTAATTTAATTTAATTTTATATTTTTAATAGCTGTGTCTCCCCACTTTACTATAAGCTGCCCCTCCTTCAATGCTCTGAATGTGCTGCCTTATCTTATGCGTAATTCTAAGAGTACAGTTTTTGTGGCAGTTCAAGTCCTTCACGCATGAGAAGTCTTTTCATACCTCAGTTTGTTTTCCGTTATTACTAACATAATGACTACCTTTTATTGAGTACTTACTATGTGTCAGGCATTACATTAATAAGCATTTTTTACATACTTTTTTCATTGGGTAAAATATACACAACAAAAAATTGGCCATTTTAACCATTTTTAAGTGTACAATTCAGTGGCATTAATTACATTCACAATGTTGTGCAACCATCACTACAGTCTTACCAAAACTTTTTCATGACCCCAAACCAAAACTCTACCCATGAAGCAACATCTCTCCACTACTCCCCCATTCCCTCAGCTTCTGGTAACTCTAATTTATGGCTAAGTAACATTCCATTATATGTATATACCATATTTTGTTTATCTATTCATCTGTTGGTGGACACTTGGGTTGTTTCCACCTTTTTGCTATTGTGAATAATGGTGCAAAGAACACTGGCTTACAAGTATCTGTTTGAGTCTCTATTTTCAATTCTTTTGGATATATACCTAGGAGTGGAATTGCTGGGTTACATGGTAAATCTATGGTTAACTTTTTGAGGAATCATTAAACTGTTTTCCACAGTGGCTGCATCATTTTAGACTCCTACCAGCAGTTTATGAGGATGCTAATTTCTCCATATCCTCACTGACACTAGTTTTTTTCTTTTAAATCATACCCATCCTAATAGTGAAAAGTGGTATCTCATTGGGGGTTTGATTTGCATTTCCCTATCGACTATGATAAGCATCTTTTCATGTGCTTATTGGCTATTTGGATATCTTTCTTGGAGAAATGTCCATTCAAGTGCTTTGCCCATTTTTTAATTGAGTTGTCTTTTTGTTGTTGTTGCTTGTGCTTTTGGCGTCAAAAATAAGAATCCATTGCCAAATCCAAGCTCAGGAAGATCTGCCCTTTTGTTTTCTTCAAAGAGTTTTATGGTTTTAGCTCTTATATTTAGGTTGTTGACCCATTTTGAGTTAATTTCTGTGTATGATGTAAGATAAGGGCCCAGCCCCATTCCTTTGCAGGTGGAAATCCAGTTGTCCAGGCAACATTTATTGAAGAGACCGTTCTTTCTCCACTGAATGGACTTTGTACCCTTGTCTAAAATCAATTGGCCACAGATGTCTGGGTTTATTTCTGGACTCTCAATTCTATTCCATTGGTCTATATGTCTATCCTTATGCCAGTACTACACTATTTTGATGACTGTAGCTTTGTAGTAAATTTTGAAATCAGGAAGTATGAGTTCTCCAACTTTGTCCTTATTTTTCAAGATTGTTTTGGCTATTCAGGGTCCTTTGAAATTCCATGTGAATTTGGATATTGACTTCTCCATTTCTGCAAAAAGGCTATTGGAATTTGATAGGGATTGCATTTAATCCATAGCTCGAGTAGTACTGACATCTTAACAATATTAAGTCTTCTAATCTATGAACATGAAATGTCTTTCACTTAGGTCTTCTTTAATTTCTTTCAGCAACATTTTGTAGTTTTCATTGTACAAGTCTTTTGCCTCCTTGATTAAATTTATTCCTAAGTACTTTATGCTTTTAGATGTTATTTTAAATGAAACTGCTTTCTTAATTTCTTTTTCAGATTATTCATTGCTGGTTGTTAATAAGCATTTTAAAGGCATTAGCTCATTTAATTCTCATAACAACACTACGAGGTAGGTACTACTATCACCTCCATTTTAAAGATAGGGGCCAGCCCTGTGGTCGAGTGGTTAAGTTGGCGCGCTCCGTTTTGGTGGCCTGGGGTTTCGCCAGTTCAGATCCTGGGCACGGACATGGCACTGTTCATCAAGCCATGCTGAGGTGACGTCCCACATGCCACAACTAGAAGGACCCATAACTAAAAATATACAACTATGTACAGGGGGGCTTTGGGGAGAAAAAGGAAAAATAAAATCTTGAAAAAAAAAAGATAAAGAATTTTAAGACTAAGAGATTAAAAATCTTGCCCAAGGTCACAGAAAGAAATGAAACTTGACTCTTACAACCATTATTTAGGGTTTTCTAAAGCTCCAGGAACCTGGCTCCAGATAAGTATACAAAGTTACTATAATAAAATCTTGAGTTCTTGAAGCACACTTAATTCTAGCTTCCAACAACTGATCATTTAATCTCAAAGATCCTAATTAAATAGATTGATCTGCTATCTTTGTATGACAAACTACCAGCCAATTATGATTTAAAATAATTATGCATAAAATAACTTCCAAAGATGTTATTTGACCAAGAAGAGTGACGACCAAACAAACTTATCAGCAGTATTCAATCACAAATACAAGACAGTGACATAAACTACTTTAACAATACCAGATAACAAAGGCTGGCAATCTTTTTATGTAAAGAGTGTGAGAGTAAGTATTTTAGGATTTGTGGGCCAAGAAGAAAATTAAGGCTATTATGTAGGTACTTATTTAAGAAAGAAAACCAATTTTCACAAATGTTTTATCAACAAAATTCAAAATGTAATAACTGAGTATCATTTTTTGTAATACAGAGGCGTGGAATTCTTTTTTGTGGGGATAACATTTCACTTAATTAGGGTTCATAGTTAGTGGTTCCTTATCAGAACAGATGTTAATACTGTTCATCTGGTAATGTTGATCAGTAAAGAGATTTTACATATTTCATCTTTGAAAATATTTTTTCACATAGATGGGTCATATGTATACCACTTGAAATACTGGAGAGCTGTAACAGCATCACTGTGGCGTGCAGTGCACTGAGCAGCAGTGTAATGCAATGAGAGCACCACATATAAACTCTGTTGCAACTACTTGATTGTGCTATCGTAGGACAGAAACAGCCCAAGAAAATAGCAAACAAATGGATATGACTGTGTTCCAGTAAAACTTTATTTACAGACATTGAAATCAGAATTTCATATAATTTTCACATGCCACAAAATATTATTCTTCTTTTGGAATTTGACAGGGATTGCATTTAATCTATAGCTCACTTAGGGTAGTACTGACATGTATTGTTGATTTTTTTCACAAACATTTAAAAACGGAAAAACCATTTTTAGCTCATGGGCTGTACAAAAACAGGCAATAGGCTGAATTTGGCCCATAGACTATAGTTTGCTGGCCCTTGTTCTATGACACTGAAATTGACCTTTCAAGTTTCCCACCTTCTAAAAGCCAAATGGATTTGATTAATGAACTTGGGGTGTTAAGAAAGGGCCCAATAAGATTTATTCACAAGCCACAATTTTTAAAAATGAAAATATCAGCATGTTAAGCTATTAATTCAAAGATACATCCCATTTCCTAACAGCTTTTACAATGAGACAATACTGGGCTTTAAAACTATTTAATGAACTAAATGATAACCTTATGTAGAGAACTGACTGTGAACAAGGGACATCTGCAACTTCTGATACTGCAATCTAACTCTTCCGAAGAGACTTATCAGTCACACCAACTACATCATGGCATTTCTGTTCACATGACATTTCTTTTTGTTGAGACCAAATCTAAAACTACACAATAGCTTTTTAATGCAAGAGAAGTTATCACTGGGCAAGTTAACAACAGTAACATATTTATGACACTAAATTTTTCCCCAATCACCATGGAATTCATTTTGCACTATTCAAATTGGAACTTGTTTTATCACTCAATTGGATCCAAAAAGTTCAAGTCATTTTCCATTCTGACAACCGAAATCTCACATGCAATGAAAAGCCAAGAAATAAGATTAGTAACAAAATCTTTCAAGACCTCCAATAAGAACTTCTCTCCTGACCAACTTGCCCAACCCCCTTACCCTACTACTAGAATGTGAATTCTGAAAGGTAGGGTACATGTCATTCCTTAATCTGGTATCTCTCACAGTATCTTTCAAAGTGCTTTGACTACGGGTCATGCTCAATAAATGAGCGTGGAACTGCAATGAACTGATAGAATCATTAATCAGAGAAATGAAAATATCTAGGTTAACCATCCTACTTACGGTTCAGGTTCCACCGCGACAAGGGGCATATCTCTTCTCAGTAAAAATCGGTTCTCAGGCACTGGAGGAATCTCTTCTGGGCGAACCACAGGCTTTTCCCTCTTAGCATTTGAATCAACTGCCCTTTTTTCATTGGTATCACTCCTCTCGGAGTGACTTGGGGAGAATAAACCAAGTCACCAATTAAGATGTATAATGTTTACATTTCATAATAATATTAAAATAATAGCAAAACTACTGGTAACTTACAAATCTCACTCAAAAGTGAGGTTCCTTTTTTTTTAATTTTCACCAAGAGAACATAAAACATCAACCCAGTGAAAAAGTCACAGTACAAAAATTCTGATGAAAATTGTCAAATGATCCTTTTTTCTTTTAAGAGTTCCAGGGATTAGTCTCACCTGCAAACACATAAATCTTTGATATGATATGTCTGTGCTACCCCTAAATTTGCCAATTTCAATTTAAAGTCCAAAAAATGCTATCCTTTTCAACAAGAGGTAATAACGCTAAGTCTACAGAATTATATATTCTTTCCCCATTCCAGAGTGTGTGTTTGTTTTTTAGGTAAGACTACCCTGGTGTTTCACACTTACCCTTTCGGGCTCATTGTATGTTTATTCCTTGGCTCCTCTGAACTGCTTGCTTCCTTTCGTCTCTTTTTAGAATGTTTAACTTTTGGCCTCCTCTTACGTTTCCTTCTTCTGCTTCTCTCATGTTCAATTTCACTTTCTGAAGATGATTCAGAAGAGGAAGAGGAATTGGAAGAGGAATCCGAGTCTTCTGAATGAACTGGTTTCTTCCTTTTTTTCTCAAAAACTTTTAAGAAATATTAACAAAAATATTAGTACTGGATTTCAGTGCCTACTTTTCAGAGTAAAAAACGTGATTATTGAGTATCATAAAACACACTTTATAGATAGCAAACTAAAAATAAAATTTAAATAAACTTTTTTCCAAGTTGGTAATACAACTTGCTGGTGAGATTGTAAGGCAACAAAGCCCTTGCCCTCATGAAGTCCATATTCTAGCTGGGTCAAATAAGAAAATAAGTAAGTAACTGCTTATATAATTTGACAAACAATAAGTGCTAAAACGGGGGGAAAAAAAAGGCAGGGTAAAGGGAATAGGGAGAGTTGGGAGTAATTTAAAATTACGTTTGAGCAGAAACCTGAAGGAGGTGAGGGAGGGAGTCAGGCAGGGATCTGAATGAAGAGTGTTCCAGACAGAGGAAACAGCCAGCACAAAGTCCCTGAGTCCCTGAGCTTGGCATGTCTCAGTAAAGGTCAACCTGGCTGGGCAGGAGACGAACAAGGGAGAAGAGGTCAGAGAGCCAGACTGCCTTTCAGACCACCGTGAAGACTTTAGCTTTGTCTGACTGAGAAGCCCTTGGAGAGGATCACTCTGGTTGCTGTTAGGGACAGACCGTAGAGGGCCAAGTCTGCAAGCACGAAGACCAGTTAGGCCACTACTGCTGCTGAGAAAAGATGATAGAGGAGCGAGGACAGAGGCAAAGTAAACAGTTACGTGGCTATTGCAATAATCTAGATAAGAGAGAATGGTGGTTTGGACCAGTCTGATAGCCGGGGAAGTAAAAAGAAGAGTTAAGATTTGATAAGAATTGCTGATGGACTGGATATAGGGTATGATATAGAGGCATCAGGGCTATTGTTATAGTACTTGCACGAGTTTATTCCACTACTGAAATCCAGAAGGGATCTTTAAGTTATAATCTTCAACATGCATTAGCTGTATCCTAGCTCCTCCTACTCGCAAAAAACTCTTACCATCTTTTGTTGATTTAGTGGCAAGCACCCCACAGTCAATAACTCGCACATCTGCATAAGGCCTACTTGCAGCATCAGTTTTCAGATTTTCAATTTGTTCAATTACTTCAAAACCGGAAATAACTAGTCCAAAGACAACATGGACCCTGTCATAATACAAATTCAAGAAAGAATTGGTTTGATGATAATTAAGCCATAAGCAATAATCAAGACAACTGTTATAAATGACATGTCCACAGACCTGAAAATAAAAGCAAAGTATTCGATGTATGAAGCAACTAGAAGGGAATTGGAACTTGAAATCCGCTTCATAAAAGAAAAAAACAATTACTCAAACTGGGCCTTAGTTTCTGCCTTTAAAACAAAGGTTCTTAACTATTTTATGGTAAAGAGTCTGGTAACAGTCAGATTGCACTTAATACTCAGAAACTGTCATTACAGGGTCACTCAACAAAGCACAGCTGAGAAGTCCATCCATAAGCCCAGGTAAAGACCCCTTGGCTGTGAGAGATTAACCCAGAGATCAAGAGGGTTCACTCATGGTCCAATCTGTCTTGGACTGGCCACCCAATCACCTCCTTAAGGTATTAAGAACATAACTCTTACCCATCCAGGTGCGGAGCAGGTTTTGTGGTACTGTGTAATAAACATCGATACAAAGAAGATGGCAAAAACCAGGTGTTCAGGTAAACAGAGCAGAAGGGATTAAAGCACAGCATGTAGAGAACAAAAAGGTAAAGATAAAAAGGGGAAAAAGTTAAACATGATATACATATAAACTTAAAAACCTTAAAAACAAAGCAAGCATAGCCATTTTATTGATTTTAAAAAACCCTCAAGAGTATAATGAATTACAAAATCACATCTATTTCTCCAATATGAAGACTATATATGTAAACATACATCTGAAATAGGTTTAAAATATTCAAATATATTTGAAATATAAATATACATTAAAACTAAAGTTATTCTCAAGTCTAAAACAACAAAACCAAAAACAAATTCAAAATTTATCAAGATAATTAAACAAGAATAAAAAAGCACCTATCATTTGCCCTAAAGAAAGAAAAGCGTGATCAACACTTGCCCCACACACTTATATGAGTTCTTCTATTTCTTATTCCTCATACTGAGTCAGTGTGCATCTTTTAGGCAGGCAGATCTTTGAGCCCCTCTTCCTTACCTAAGGTGAAGCTCTGCCACTCACAGCAACTCTGAAAATGTAATAGGGAGCAAACCTTCAATCTGCCAACACTTCTGACAGCAAAGTAGATAATGATGGGTAACATTATAGACACTTTAAATTTCCATGGCTCAGAAAACACCCAACTAGCTTCTTCTACAGTCACAAACTGGCAGATAGTCACTCTTGGGAAGCCTAAGGGGTACATTTGGTTAAGATATTTTGAACCCAAGCTGGTTTTCTCATATCATTTTCACAGATCTTCACATTATGTGAATTGCAATGCAAAAAAATTCAAAAGCAGATAACTCAGAAGTGTATATCACAAACATCTTAGTTTATAAGAATGAGAAATAGATATTTGAAGAAAGTTCCCTGGATATCAGGCCATGTGAAAGCAGTCAATTGTACTAGAAGCTCCCATATAAAGTTTTATATTTTATCTTCATTGTAAGGCAATTCAAAGACATGTAAGTCAACAAGACACAATTTAAACCTTCACAACAATGCTAAAAATCATTATTCTACAAGGAATCCTAACACTTATGCTTACATTAAGAATATTCAGTTATGTAAGAGTACTAGAGAATTTAATTTTAAAAAATTAAATGTCAACTTAAGAACTTCCAGAATTTTAAAGGGTATCTTGAGTTTTAAAACCACTAGTCTCAAATTTCCCTTAGAAGATTGAGAAGTGGTAATTATGTAATAGTAAAAATGAATAAAAACAGGCAAAAGAAAAAAAGAAGAAAAAAATCTAGCAAATTGGTGAGGCGGTAACACTTAAATCATTAAACTAACGTCTAGAAACTATGTTGGACGATAACTTTAAGATAGAAATGTGCTTCCTATAATTATAAAACTTTACCAAAGCACATAACAGATAGGAAGAAATCATTACATATGCTAGACAGAGATTCCACTGTATGAAAGATGTAAAGAGGTAAAAATTTTTAAAGGTAAAAATGCTCTTCTACAATGTAAGGAATCAGTCTCAAACGTGTAGCAGTGAAAACAATGAAAGATTTATTGACTAGATATTCCTCTTCCTTCCTTGATCCTTTCTCTCACAACTCTCACATCTTCTGATATTGGGGAAAAGCCTACAGGTTTTTCTAAAACACACGGAGCCCAACTGAATTTGCCACCTTGGCTAACAGTGCTGTAAAAACCACCTTACGGCAAACCTTGGAGCAACTGGTGAGATTAAAACATTCTAGCTAAGTGCAGGGAGGCAGCAACAAACTACCTAAGCCTCAATCTGAGGACAGAATAGCTACCTTTATGAAAGATTCAAGTTTTCTTTTTAATTAAAATAAAAACTGAAGACAAACAAACTTGGTCCTTTATTGCAGTAGTGAAGAAAACAAATGAAGAAAAGAACTACTCTTTCAAGGACGAATTTCAGCTGGCCCACTGTGCTTAAACTGGTGTAAATAAATAAGTCCATTGCTCGCATCTGCAATTCAGGATGCAGAAATGCAAATGTATATTTTAATTGGGTTAGACAACATATTAGGAATACTGAAAGTATCTCAACAAAATAAGCCCTCTGGGGTTTTCAGCCTACATTCCAGGAGTAGATATTCCAATGTAAGGCAGGCTTACTGGCACTGGGCTGACACCAGACATGGATAAACAGAGGACACTGCCAAAAGGGGTTACAAAAGGGCAGAGGGAAATGAGATGCTCAGTCCAAGTTATTCAACTCTGTTACAATGGACAAAGAGACCTCAGCCCACCAACTGTATGGATCTTTCAGTTGTAAAGACCCATGCAGTGGTGACATATGCTCAGTAAGTTAAGACCTTAAGAAAGCCAGAGACTATCATAAATGTGTAAGTTTATACATACTTATAAAACATACCTAAAGGAGAAACAACCACAAAAAAATTTCAAATTATAAAATTTTCCAGTTTCCCCCACCCCTGAATTTACTTTAAAAATATATGCACAAGGGTTCATTTAAACCTTGTAAATTCTAGAAATTAAAAGTGTCACTGTCACTCCAAAAAGCAATCTACATTTATAGCCATTATCAAAGAAGCTTTTGGCCTTATACAGAAATCAATAGTTCTGTACTGAAATGAGATCTAAACCATTATATTATACACAATATACCGCCCCCTCCCCCGAAGATGTGTGGGAACAAGCCCCTGAAATTAAAATATACTTCTCAGGATTAACCAGGGATAATAAAACACACTTCTTTTACACGTATTGCTGCCATAGATCAAGCAGAAAGTTTTTTCTTAAAATGGTTCAATGCACATAACAACAGGATTAAAGAGATAAAGGCAAAGAAAGAAAAAGAGAGCCTTAGAGTAATGAGACATTACCTTTGGAGCGCACGGTGTAACACTCTTTCTGTAAATTTTACACAAAAATGGCAAGAAATAAATTGTAATACACTTTTAAGACAAGACTGAATCTATGTTTTAATATCAATATAACTTTGAAATTAAATATTTTCAAGTTTTATGCAAAGCAAGAAAGCTTTTTAAAATGGAGGGCTCTAAATTTTCTTTCACATAAGATGTATGTAGAGATGAATTATGTTTAAGAAAAGCTTTGTGGTTAAAGTGGGAATCTGCTCAGATCCTTAATATTGTAACATTAGAGTGTGAATAATAGCTATTAACAAAACATTACATTTCACTTCACAAATTCTAGAAACTAGCTAAGTCAACTAACATCTTTCTCAATAAGAGAATAATATATCTTGCGTACATACATAAATATAAAAATCTGAATGCCCAGGAGCAGTTACTACTAGTGGAAAGCAAAAATTTCCATGGAAAGAACTGAGTTAAGAGAATTCAAAACAAACAAAATTTCAGGGAACTTTTTTACTAATTCACTTCAAATAGACCCTTCGTGTTTCTACATTTGAAAGCTTTTTTCAGTCACACAACACAACAGACCACTATCAGGAGTTAATGAGCAAATGTTTGGACTGTAGTTTCTGTTCGTTGCCATTACATACACTTTTATAGTTGCTAAGTCATTTACTTTTTATTTATTTTTTTACTCTTTAAAGATTGGCACCTGAGCTAACAACTGTTGCCAATCTTTTTTTTTTGAATTGTTTTCCTCTTCTCCCCAAAGCCCCCAGGTACATAGTTGTGAGTGCCTCTGGTTGTGCTATGTGGGACGCCGCCTCAGGATGGCCTGATGAGCTGTGCCATGTCGGCACCCAGGATCCGAACCGGCAAAACCCCAGGCCACCGAAGTGAGTATGCAAATTTAACCATTCGGCCACGGGGCCAGCGCCTGTTAAGTCATTTAAAATAATAATAATAATAATAATAATAATAAAAGACTACAGAAGCATAACTAGAATTTTAAGGATCTTCTCAAAGAATAAAGGATAAAAAGATGGAAGTCTTAAGAGTGTGCTGTCAAATCTTGGCCATAGTACTTTCTTTTCCTGTCTAATCTGATTTTCCCCATTATAAAAGAAATATTTTTCAAATATACACCGTCTGACCAATTTTAACTCTATTAAACTTTAAACATATTTATTACTCCTCAGACCAAAAACCATATTATATATAATGAAGGAAATTCTTTATAGCGGTTTTGGACATATTAAATCTTGAAATGTTTAAAAATAAGCTTTAATTTCTTATAAAGCATTGATACACGAATTACTATCAAAAAAGAACAGGTTTCAAATAAAGTAGTGTTGTCAATGAATGTTGTAAATAAAAGTGACTCTAGGTGTAAAGTAGTACGGGAGAAGGAAATAAAGATAACCTATTTCTCCTGTCTAATGTAGCCTTTAACATGCAATTTTTTCCTTCAACTCCTGAAAATATCACACTTGGAAGAGGCATCAAATTGTACACAGTGATAAAGCTGGCGTGAGGAAAATGGAAACTAACCAAGCCACATTATAGCACTCTACCTATGCATTTCAAAAGTCACCAAAATAGAAGAGCTTTCGGAAATTCAGCACTGATGTTAAAAATACACATCAAACAATACTAGATACAAAATTCCTTCCAGCTTGCTAATACGTGTGTCACATAAACACTAAGTAATATTAAGACAATGTTAGGGATGATATTTGATATTCAGAGAACTTCACTAATGATTAAGTTTCATGTACATCTTTTGAAATTAACTTATGAAGGTATTACCCCAAAAAAGAAAGGAAAAAGCTAGACTTCTCAGGTTATTAACTCTTACTAGCATTTCTTCTCATAAAAATTCATGAATATGAATTTTTCTACCCAAATATACCTTTGCTACCCAAAATGACAAGACAGCTTTATAAACCTCTTAAAACTAAACCAGCCCTCAACTCCCCTTGCTCTGCTACTCTGAAATGACACTGAAGTCACATGAAGACACATGAAGAAGTGCTGAAATAGCACTTCTCTCCTATTCAGGTGAGTAGCCACTGACAAGCCTGATTCTTAAATGACATAGAGCATATCCTAGAACTTCCTAGGTTTTCCTCCTATAGTCCTATTTATGACTATTAAAATGTAACAAATACTTTTTGCTTAAAGTTTGACTTTTCTGCATTATCTTTTATTATTTTTTTATAATCATCACGACCAGTAACAGTGGCCATTGACAGAGACTGTACTCCAGAGCTCTGCAGTCTTCCTCCTCCATGGCTATGAGATAAAGCCTGCACAGGTTCAGTGGACGGGGACAAGCGCACCTGCCACACCAGTGTTCTAACAGTGGCTGAGGAAGAGTGCTGCTGCTGCCCCTGGTTTAGCAAGACGAGGCCAGAGCTTCTCTGCAGCACCTTTCAGACTGGTGAAAACCAGGCAGGTACAACTATTCTCTTTAGGCAAGAGAAGGTTTGCATATATATCATTCCACATATTCAGAAACAGATCAATCTATGAAACATTTTCTTCCTTTTATATCCACGTTTTCACACCAAAATGTTTACTTTATCTTTGAAAGTGGGGTAGATACTTTATAAATAGAAAAGGAGACAAAACTAACACAAGGTACATAGTAAATAAAACTAGAAGCAAGTGCTTTTACCCAGGAGAGTAAATACAAAGCTATAAAGCACCTAACTCATCTTTTTAATGACTATTTCATGCAATAGCTTATGTTTTGAAGAATGTATGTAAATAGAATAAAATCTAGAGCCAGAATTTATAAACTGTTAATACTAACAGTCAAAGGAAAAGAAAAATGTTTCCCTGCATGTCATTTTATTTGTCAGCAAGGCCTGATGCTTCTAATACCTAACTAAAATAAATTCAGAGCAGAGTGGTCAATAAAATTATGTAGCTTACAGTGCACAGCATTCTCTTTTAAGCTATCAATTTCTTCTAGATTATGAACAAAATTTCTGTAACCTGGTCTTTATATGGGTTTTCTTCCTTATGTAGCATTATCTACAGAACAAAAAGGTTGGACTAGATGATCTCTAAACCCTTTTCTACTCTGAGACTTTATAATTCTATAGCTTTTATTGTTATTCCTTCCTAGTCTTTGGCTTTAAAAATAAATCAAATTAAAAAGGACAAACTAACTAAATATCAAGTTAACTTAGTTACTACTTTGGTCCTAGGTCTTTGAATTCCTTCGAAAATACCTCAACATGGACACACCATTATATCCTCAGTGATTCATATCAATAGTACCACATACATCATTTCTTTCATGTTTCCTGAACAGTACTATTCCAAAAAGAATCAGTTTTCTTCCATTTAGGCCCACAAAAGCAAAATCATATGACTAATACAGTAGTAGATATAAGCAGTTATTGGAAAAATTACAAATAGCTTTATAGAAGAAAATCTGATTTTCATCATACACATAATGGTTCTACCCAAAGAAAGCAATACATGCAAAATTATATTTAATAAAAATGATGTATGTCTCAGAAAGGGGAGGTTTTAAATGCATAAGTGATGAAGACAATAGTTATTGCACAAATCACAAGAATCCTTGAGGAACATTTTGCAAATACCCACACTAATAGCACCAAATTTACTTCCTAGGAATTACAAAGTAAAATATTTATAACATAAACTAAAAATACAATTTTACAAGGATATATGAAAAGTCCTTATTAAGCCTATAAAACTGGAACTACAAAGGCAGTTCTTGGCATTTTACCATTCACTCTTACAGCATACTTTCTTTTTCAGATTGCAGAACTGCTGCTCAAGGTGCCGTAAGAATAGCTGCGGTAAGAGGGTAAAATGCAGGAGCCACCGTTGGGAAGCCATCAGATAGCTCTGCAACCATCGACCCCAGTAACCTCAACTTTTACAGTGATTATCTACCATCATATACACAACTTGATAGAACATTATACTTTTTTTTTTTACTACTTCCAGCTCCAAAATATTCGGGCTTGCAAGACATAGATTTTCAAAGATTTTTCTTTTATGGGCCACCATCTGCATTTTACCTATCCTTTCCATAAAAGCAAGGAAATATTTTGTTTAGAAAGGTGAACATTAGTTTATCCTGCAACCCACGGATAACTGGTACTTCTAGCCAGCAAAAAAAGCACATACACAAAAACTTCTTTAAAAAAAAGAGACAAGGATTTGTGTGTGCAAAAATGCTCAATTACTTTCAAGACTGCTTTTAACTCCAAACTTATTTCCAGATGTAAATTTCAAACTAAACGAAGAAAACTTTCTTTCAATCACATGTTCACAGTGATTTTAGTGCCATCTACAGTGAGTTAATTAAGAAAACACATTTAAAAATTTTAATCCTAATTCACTGATGTTAAAATTTTCTTTTGGCACTTCTTGTCAAAAATAGTAGTCCAACGTAAAATTAAGCTATGTAGGAAACAGCAATAACCTTAATTTTTTTTGATAGTAAACATTCCTGGAAAAGACTTAAGCAAGTACTAAATAACATACAAACAAGATACTCTTTAAATTTTTTGAAGGGAGAATCTCATACATTAGATTGTAATTAATATACGTAGGTGCACTGGTTTTAACTCTAACATTTTATAAACAAGATAATCAGGTACAATGGGAAGAAGCTGCTGCTACCTGATAAATCAAACTTTAAATGTACTGACATAAAAAAGGAAATCTAAAAGAAACTTTAGAGCCCTCAAATGATAGCTTCTTGACCAAGGAATCATTAGTTTATCATGTTCACAGTTCAGATAAGCTTAAAAATGGAAATGGAAAACCTCAATCAAAGAGTAAACAGCTTCTATATTAAATTACTATAAAAGAAGATTTTCAAAATATTTCCCAGTACTTTTTTTTGGCCTTTTAGAAAGTTAAGAACAGAAAAATACTCTAGTAAAGAAGTGGAGTAACTAATACTCTACGGAATCAAAACAAGATATAGGAACAACTGTTTTTAGGTCTTCTTTTTTTTCCTGCACAACTCCAAGCATTATCATCATCTAGCAGCTTTCCATTTTTAGGACATTCTTAGGAACAGAATGTCCCTTATCTGAACTTTATCAGATCATGTTGGAAATCTATTTTTTCAGAAAAACTTAAAATGTGAGATTTATTGTATATGAATAATTTACTCCTTTAAAGACAGGGAAGCGCCATTCATACTCATCCATTCAGAAAGATGACTGACTTTTTCTGGTAAACCACGAATAAAATATTTCTCCAACATACATAGCACAACTATGGAGATTTACTTCCAGTCAAAAGCATTAAACTTCATGCTAATTATCTTTCATATTTCATATAATAGGATTATAATAAAAATAGGTTTTGAAGTAACTTTAGATAAGAATATAACTAAAAGTATGCCAAAGCTCTTAGAGATGAGAAATAAGTATGGTATTGGTTGTGCATGCATGTACATTGTGAAGGAGTATGTTTTTTAAAAAGCAAATTAGCATTCTGAAGTTTCCTCAGTGATAATCTCATAAATTTTGGTTGAAATGACAGCAATATTGGGTTAACTCAATTATGCATAGAGACCTCACAAGGTTTGAGTTATTTTCACAATGCTGCTCAGCAGCAAATCACTTATCTCTACACAATATCAGAAAACAATGGTCCCTCTCTCAAATTGGCTCAAAGAGAAACAGTAAAAGAAAAAGCAACCACACAATGGTTTACTCAAACGAACTGCTTTCCATGCCAAGGGTACATCTAGTCCTAGCCTATGAACAATTTTTAAATGTTCATCAATAGTTTATGTTTCAATCTAGCCTTGGTAAACTGAGCCCCCAAATTTGTTGAGTCAAAGCCAATTTCTTTTCTGAAAATGACAACGTATTTTGAAAATAATGTACATCTTCAAGTTACATCTTTTAAGTACTATTCTTCAAATCCAGGATATATGTTGAATGCTGAGGTGGCTGTTAAGAGCTTACCAGTTACTATAACATTAGCAATTAATAATAAAACCCAAGTTGACAGAATTCCAGCATTAAACTTGGTTTAACTATACCATCTTTCTCATGAACAGCGCTTCTCTGTTTAAGAAAAGCTCATCTCTGAATTATGCCTACTCACATGAAAAACTGGGAACCATTGGTATGTTTCCCTCGATTTGCCATTGACAAAAGGAACGCTCTGTCATGTTTGAGAATAAAGTTTTCATCTGTTTGAAGAAAACACAAATTTGTCAGTCTCCAATTATAAGTCACTTTTAAAGTGTAATGTTCACAGTAATAAACAGAAAGCAAAGGATGAAATTCCTCTTCTGGTCAGTACAGATACTTGACTGAATATTTAGAAAAAAATTTTTAACTACTCAAGGAGCAAAAGCATAAAATGACCAAAAAATACTACTTAAAGCCTTGAAGAAAAGAACATATATTTAATACTTCATACAAACAGCCTTAGAACAGTCACTTTTAGTAGTAACATACTTCGGCTAAATTGTATTTAAATTATTAGCTTTCAGGGAAAACACGTAAAGAAATTTTAGAGAAATCTCTATAGTAAAGCTCATTTCCTTCAAATTTCCTATTATCCTGCCTAAAGCACTATACATGGAGAAGTTTAATAATCCTCTCATTTTATATACGGTAAATTTATTACTCAACAGAATTAAAGCTAGGCTATGAGAGCAAAATCCAAAATATTACATAAATTAAGTTAAGGACATGCCTAAATTAAATTAAGTATGTGGATTCCTTCTAATCAATAGGATCGAAAATTATCTAAGAAAGAAAGTCCTGTAGAAACAAAAACTTAAATGGCACAATACAATTTTAAGATACACAAGTATCAGCCACAGGGAACAACCACATTAAAGTGGCCTACAGCATAAGTTTCCAATTGCTACATGATAACAGAACCAGCTAAAGAGCTGTTTCCTTCTAGTTCAATGAAAAAACTCTGTCATAAAGATCACTTAGAGATGTTTTTAATTCCAGCAGAAATATACTGAAAACTAATTTCAATTTCCTTTTAACATTCATACAAACAAACCTTTCTTTAGAACAAACGAAAACATAGAAAACTTTAAAAAAATGATTACCTTGGGAACAGGCTTCTGAAAAAGAGTAGTAATCCATTTTCCCCCAAAAGAAATATAAAAGACTATTATAACACTGAAGCTATCATAGCATTAAAACCTAGTAATATTGGTTCCCATTATAAATCTCTGCAACTGACTTTTCTAAGGCTTTTTGGGGCAAGTGCAATAGTTAGATTATACAAATGTTACTACTGTAGGAATAAAACACAATCATATAGTTCTAGTATACAAAAGAAAACATACAAACCTTTGAGAAAATACCAACTTTTTCTACGAAAGAAATCGCTTGGTTTAGGAAAAAAAAAAAAAACAGCTAGATTCTTTTCCCTGATGTGGAACTAACAACCCATTGGGAAAAGAAAAAAGATACAGATTCATATATGAAATAGTATACAGAATTTTCCAAGTCTTCAAGAAAATTAAGAAATCCAGCCACAACCTGACCCAGACTGTCCATAAATTTATTAGGAAGGGTGCAAGGGAACAGAATTGGAGTTTGTGTTACTGAGCTTCGTTCTCTTACCTTTTCATTTTGCAAAAGACCACATTCTCTATAAACAAAAGAATATGTTGACAGTTTTAGGCAGGAAGATAGGAGTTTTCATGTATATAGTTGCCTAACCTCCATGCTGAAAGTCATGTTTAACCATAAAGTTAGCCTTAATTAATCTTGTCAATTAAAAGTTATATCTTACAATATAATTTATCCCCAAGTTCATGCAAATAAAGTATTTTCATGCAGCATTAGTTTCATGCAAAAAGTGAACTATAAGTAAACCTCTTCTCATTAAAAGTACATGATCAGACCTGCTTTAATATCAGAACTGAAACAAAAGACTATAAAATATTAAGTCTTACCTTTAAAATATCCACCATAAATTGATTCTCCACCTTTTCCATTACCTGCAAATAATGAGCTACATGAAATTATAATGACAATGAAAAATATACTAATATATATAAATTACTTTTTATGGTTTCAATTTGCTAACATGTTTTAATTGCTGCAGATAATCAAAATTCTAAGAATTCTCAACCTTGTCTTTAAACTACAAGTCCAATCTTATTACAATAAATACTATTAAAAAAGTTATCTCCATAACCCGTTTATTTCAAACAGTAATCACACCAACAAAATTCTAGAAGAATAGAAAAAATTGGATAGTTTGGCATTCATTGTAAGGAAATTGAGCAAGTAATTATAATATTACTAAAACTGCACAAAAACAAAATAAAATGCCTTAGTATTTTGCTTTTCATACATTCTTGGTCTACAATATTCACTCATCCAAGAACTATTCACTGATCTCCTAATATTTACATCATACTATAAGTGACAAAGTATTTACAATTAAAAGTAATAATAAGATACTTTAGAAACTGATAGATGGAGTTACTAGGAGCACAACTTTTAGCTCTACCTTCACTGAAGTCCCCACCCTGAATCATAAAGTTTTTAACCACACGATGGAATGTAGAACCTTTATAACATAACTTCTTCCCAGTTGTTTTCCCAAGGCCTTTCTCCCCTAGAAAAAAAAAGAAATGAAGTTTAGCTACAAACATATCCTTCCAAGGAAAGTATTATTCAATTAGTCCTTTGTCAATCCCTCCTGTGTGCTGGGAACCCGTAAGAGATACAAGAAATAGATAGTGTGGCAATTTAACACACAGACAAACCAAAATAAACACCACAAAGTAGCATATAAATGTTAAATTGTATGGTACAGACTTTACACACTACCAGAGAAAAGAAAGATTAGAAATGGTTATTACTCCAGTAAGAGAATGTAATCAAGGAGTTGGTGCAAAGACTGGATATGTATGTACATGTATCCAAGTAAGGATTTTAAAAATTCAACTTGCTATTCCTATTTTGAAAGTAACATTGTAGATGTTTTTCCTCCCCGTTTTTTCTACTTTTGAAAAATGTAAATCCAATTATATATAACAAAGAACAACTTCATTATGTTTTGCCCTGCTATTTTCTAACCCTAAATTTCCTGTGAAAGCTGGAATACTAAATCTGGTACAAAGTACTGAAATTTGTAAAATTATACCAAAACAAACCAATTTTGAATATGCTATTATTTTATAAACTACAATGTACAGAAGAGATTTCATTACATATAGTCATACTTTCTTTTTCATTTTTGAGATCATTTCTCTCTCCTCTCTTCCTCTTAAGAAATGCTTCCCTGATTTCATATCAGCCCATTACTTTTTAAGGAAAATACCTAGTCTGTTAAGCAAAGTAAAACTATAAGTTATGACATGACTTCTCATTAGAAATAATTTAATAATTCATTTACCTGAGCATAGGCAAAGGAAGTTTTTGCATGTTTTTGGACATATGTCTGAGAAGAGCTGAAACATAATACGACCAACTGAAATAAAACACATGAAAAAAAGGTAAGCAAGTTAATTAAATATACCACATCTTATATGGGAAGGAATAAAATAAACAGAATTAACAAACTGAAAGGTCTATTTTTGTAATTCATTTTAATTTTTTAAAAGATTTAACAGGAAAGAATTTAACTGGGCAATGCCAACTAACTACTCTATTTGTTAGTGTTAGAATTCAGATGCAGCCAAAGTGGTTTCAGCCCTAAAACTGTAGGATTTTAAGTGTCTTTTAAAGGGGCCATATGTTATTAGACCCCTTTTAGTACAGACCCCTACCTGAACTATTAATCTTCTTTAAAAATACTCTTGATAATAGTTGCCTAATCTATGCTTGAACCTCTCTAGTGATGAGAGCACGTCATATCATAAAACAGTCATTCTGGCCAGTACTGTTAGAAGAAAGTTCTTTTATCTTCTGTATTCAGCTTTCTACCTTTATGCAAGAACCGTTTACAGCCAACTTCCTGAACTGCCACCTACAACTAAAACTCACATTCTATTCCCTGAGAGAGCAGAAAGAGACAGGTTATGGTTCCTGAAAACCACCACCACCTATATAACAAACAGGAAAGGAGAAGCAGCAATGCAAATTTGATTTAACTATGCCATAGAGAAGTCCTTCACAAATTTTTTGGTCTCAGGACTCCAATAAACTCTTAAAAATTACTCACCTTTAAAAATGTGGGTTATATCTACTTCTATATATCATATTATAAACTAAAACAAATTTTTAAAACAAGAATACACAAGCACACGTTCCATCAGCTGTCAGAGCAGTGACATCATTACATATCATGTAATCTCTGGAAAACTCGACTTGCAAATGAGAGTGCAAAAGACAACTCATATTATAAAAATAGTTTTGACTTTGCAGACCTCCTGAAAGGGGCTCTATGAAATAAGAAATAGGATTCTGATTTATAATTACTTTCCTGAGCCCCTTTCCCCTTATTCTACAAAATCTCTTCCGTTATGAACATTTTTATTTACTCAAAGGGCCTTGGAGAATAAATCACAATTAACTGTGGACCAAGAGTAACTGATTTTCAGTACAGACACAAAATGACTTGATTTACTCTGTATCACTAAGATTTTAATTTACTCCTGGCCATATCAGTTCCTTTGAGGACAAAACAAAGCTACTGCATAATAGACACCCTTAAAGGATAAAAAGTGGGATAATGGCATCATATAAGAAGATTTTCTTGTGTCAACACTCAGCCTATAGCTTTAATGGAGCCAAATTTTAAAACAATTTCAAAACCTTCTTGCTGATTTTGATATCTAAGGGAATGAAGAAAAAGATAAGGAAAGAAGGCAAAAAGGAAAATAGCAACGTATCTAAAGTCATTTCAGAATTTTTAAAAATCATTATTATCAGTAATATTAAATACCACTCTTTGTATTTACACGGAAATATTTTGCTAGTATGATCAAAGTATTTTCATCGGTTCTTATAAATCCCTGGGAAATGGCTGGTTAGGTGGGTATCAAGTTCAAAATCATCTAGCTTTGTAGACTAGAACATATTTACTTTGGAATCCCTGTAAGATGGTTACTTTTCAGGATAAAAGATACAATCAAAGCAGTCAAAACTCAGACTTTTCTTTTAGGACTATAGTAACTTCAACATCAAGCATTTTTTCAAAACCTTTAATGCCTCCAAATGAAAACTGGTGTAAGTTTCCAATGTTTTTAGTTTCTCCTTTACAGATAATTAGGAGTTATGAACCCTCTAGTGGTACAACACATTTGAACACAGTCAAATATGATTACTACATTTCTGGGTCTAATATTCAGAGAGGGATAGCTAACCACAATTATTTTTTTTAAAAATGCTCACATCTAGTATCTTATCCTCTAACTTGATGAAGAAAAAAATTTCTATTGACCTCTCAATCTTTTTTAAAATTTTTTTAAAATTTAATTTTTTTTTTTCCTTTTTCTCCCAAAGCTCCCCAGTACATAGTTGCGTATTTTTAGTTGTGGGTTTTTCTAGTTGTGGCATGTGGGATGCCGCCCCAGCATGGCTTGACGAGTGGTGCCGTGTCCGCGCCCAGGATTTGAGCCAGTGAAACCCTGGGCCGCTGAAGTGGAGCACATGAACTTGACCACTCGGCCATGGGGCCGGCCCCTGAGACTGCTTTCTTAATTTAAAATGTCTGTATATGTGCAATTTGAAGAGATTAAAAACAAAAAGCAAAGTCAAAGTTTTCTATCCGAATAAACAAAATGACTATGATTTCCTACAAAGAGGTATACTGGTATTAAATCCCACCAGATTGAATCGAGAATACTTAAACTGAACACTATGCAGACCAGTAAATATTAACTTGAACTAATAAAGCTCATAAGAAGACAAATAATAGGTTTTCATAAATGTCTTTCAATTGAATTGCATTATTTTATAGAAAAGATACTTTTTAAGAAAAATTTAAAAAATAGTCTGAAGATACAGTCTTCAAAGAAAAAAATAAGTCAGTGTGGTTCAGTAGTCCGGTTATTTTCAGTGATGGCACGCATAAACTATGATTATAAAATCTATTGAAAAGAAAAATGTAAACTACAGTTACATAAGGAAAAGACTGGGAGTGACTTTGCAGAAAAGAAGATCCTCTGGCTCCGAAACTGATGAAAAAAATGAGTGTGACAGTAATACCATTTCCCAATACTAAATGCCTGAGGTTTACTGTCTCCTGTAATGAGTTAACAAACTCTGCTGATCTCTCTTTGAAAACTAATGCTGCTCCTGAATGAATGAATAAGATCTCAGAAATATTTGTTACTCAACACTACTTATATTTTAGTGGGATTTAGTAATCTCTCAGAGTCAGTCATTACCATCAGTAATATTATCTTTTATATATACTAAGATTTATTCCAAGGAATTACTGCTATTCCAATAAATACACTGTTCTATAATGGTAAGACTAAAATCTGAAACTGGTTCGTATAAGCATTAGTATGATGCTCTTAGGGTAAAAAATACATGGCTAAGGACAAAAATGACAGAGCAAGAATGGCTTCTGAACTTAACTCCAGTATACCAACATGCAGATCCTTAAAAATAACTAAGACAGGGGATTGATACTGAGATTAATCAGGTAATATCAACACATTTTAAATGTTAGCTACAGACAGGAAAAGCCAAGACATGCCCATGTCATGTTGTAATCCCAATTGGCCACTAGGTGGCAGGAATAAAATCAGCAAGTACATTGAATGTGGATAAAATTGAACATCACCTTTCAGTAATACTATTGTTCCTTGTTCTCAGAGACAGCTGTGCTGGAATTGCAGGTGCAGTGGTAAAAAAGGAAACATATATCATGGACATAAAAGATATGGTAGTTGGAAAAGTGAGCACTGGTTGAAAAAATATTGTGGGAGACACAGTACAGAAGGCAAAGAAAATCTCATTTACAATTACAAGAAAGGGATGAAGAAAAGAGCAAAGATAGAAAGAGATTACACTGGGTAGACAGAGAGCAAAATCTAGGAGAAAATTAAGGGACGGGTGCAGCATTTCAACAAAATCAGGCCATTTACTCAAACATTATTTACTGAGATCTTCCTCATGCGTCAGGTTGTCCAACAGTATGTAAGATACAGTGCCATTTTGGGGAGCTCATATCTTAGCTGGGAAGGACAGATACAAATTGCTACATAATGTGATAAACCATCAGTGGTATGAACCAAGCGCACTTATATCCACCCGTAGGCCTGACTGATGGAAGGGCAGACGGATATGGACTGTGTCTGATTTACTCACCACTCTATCCTCATTCATTTGTACAGTACCTGGTACAGGAAAAGTGCTCAATATTTGAATAACAACAATAAAAACACTTGAAACAGAATTATTCCAAGATAGTGATTAATGAAATACAAATGAAGGAATATCTAAATATAGATATCAGAAGTATTCATTACATACCAGGAAAAGTTATTACAAGTGGAAAAACATCAAGACATAGCCTAATAAAAGCTATTTATTTTCAGACATATAAAGGAAAAGAATCCTTCTATCATCCAGGTAGTAGAATAATGTCACCCACAAAGAAAAAGAAATTAGGCTGGCTTCAGACACCTCACATTAGAAACTGGAGATAACACAACACTGTCTACCATCTTAAAGGGACTAATATGCTGTGAACAAAAAACTCTAAACCTAGCAAAGGAAATATAATAATTAGACTTTATCTTGAAAACTCTATTTGAAATATGACCCTAAGATATGACTCAAAGGATTAATGAGAAAAAGCTAGTAAGAAAAGAGTGGCACCAGGGCAGGCCTGGTGGCACAGCAGTCAAGTTTGCACACACTGCTTCGGCAGCATGGGGTTCGCTGGTTCGGATCCTGGGCGCAGACCTACACACCACTTATCAAGCCATGCTGTGGCAG